ATTGATAAGGCGTCACTAAAGCGACGACTGATTGCTTCTTTGCCTGATAGGAGAATTCCCGTCATTGCTTGCCGATGGAGAGAGTACTACTGAAATTTACAACGCGATTCAACCTCGAGACACTTCCAAGCGTCTCTGCAACCAACCACAACGTTATCGCTTTTCCAGTTTCCACTCGAGATCAAACTGAATGGAGCGGAAAACTAGCCACTCGGATGACGCCCAGCGATGGCAGCCATCCTACCATTTCACTGCCCCCCACGGGTGGATGAATGATCCGTGCGGTCTGGGCCATGATCCTGCAACCGGGCTCTATCACCTCTCATTCCAGTGGAACCCGAAAGGCAATGACTGGGGAAATATGTCTTGGGGGCACGCGATTTCTAATGATCTGCTCCATTGGGATGTCTACCCCGAGCCATGTCTGCAGCCCACCACCGAATATGACCAGTGCGGTGTCTTTACAGGCTGTTTCCGACCTAACGCCGTAGATGGGGTCCCGAATGCCCTTACTGTTATATATACATCAGCGAAGCGCCTTCCCATTCATTACACGTTGCCGTATGTGCCTGGCTCCGAGTCAGTCAGTTTAGCCACTTCGCATGACCATGGTTTGACATGGCAGCGTCTTGACTGCAACCCAGTTATACCACGCTCTCCCCCGAATGTCAAAGTAACAGGCTGGCGGGATCCTTTCGTTGGCGTCTGGCAGTTCATGCAGGAACAGCCGGAGGCATTTCCATCCTCCGAACTCTGCGGTCTTATCTCCGGAGGGATCGCCGGACAGACCCCAACAGCCTTTGTGTATTCCATCCATCCTCACGACTTACGACAGTGGAAGTACTTGGGACCGCTAGTTGACGTTGGGCTCAATTTCCAACCTTCCCGTTGGTCCGGCGATCTGGGGGTCAACTGGGAAGTCGTCAACTGGATTCCCATGACCGACGACGAGGATGTTACTCGATTGTTTATCCTCATGGGGGCTGAGGGAGGTCGTTTACCCGACAAAAGCCGAAAAAAGACGCCTCGAGCACAGCTTTGGATGTCCATCAAGCCTTGCTCCAGCACCCAACCGCGTAGCACAACCGACGCTCTCGCTTTCTATGCATTTTCTGGGGTCTTTGATCACGGTTGCGCCTATGCGGCAAATAGCTTCTGGGACCCAGTCACAGGCCAACAGATAGTCTATTGCTGGATTACAGAAGAAGACCTGCCAGATGATTTACGGCACCAACAAGGATGGAGCAGCATGTTGTCCATTCCACGGGTAGTGAAACTGATCACCCTGCGCCATGTCAAACAAGCTCGGCGCTCGGAGTTGAGTGCTATCACCTCGATCGAAGCACAAGAGGAGAGCCAGGAAACGTTTACCATCCGGACGCTGGGTGTTGTCCCAGACCCACGACTTAAAGCTCTTCGCAGTAAGACGAGCAGCATGCATATTGAGCATCTGCCCCTAAGCACACTCGACAGTTGTATCTCTCCACCAAACGCCCACTTTTCTCTGACAACATCTAAATGGGAGATCGACACCGAATTCTCTGTCAGCGACCGTTGCGGCAGAGTAGGCATAGAAATTCACCATGGCCTCGGTATGTTTTTCCCTTCCCCTCACACCGGCATACATCCTAGGCTTCTCAATTCTCAACCCCCACTAACAGTCCACCAATACAAATCAGCTCATGCAGACCGACCGTGCCGTACTCTTCTATACTGGGAACCAGCCAGCGAAACCTTCTGCATCCAACGACCAATTCCGCATGACTCCCGCATTAACCATGAACCAGAGACTGCTCCTCATACGCTATTCACGTTTGAAACCCCATCCGGCGAACAAAAAGAAGAGACGCTACAAATCCACGCATTCTGGGACAAGAGCGTGCTCGAAGTGTTCGTGAACGAGCGTACCGTCATCTCTACCCGCATCTATCTGCAACCTGACCAAGCCTCCCAGTGTGAACTGCGTTTCTTCGCTGAGGGAGAGACTAATCATGATGATCCTCCGGCTATGCTTCTGCAGGCAGACAGTTGGGATGGGTTGAGCCTCGATAAACCTGATCGTGTCTCGTTGATCGAGCAATTGAGAATGAGGAACGATTCGACGCGCGAGTGAGATACCGTGTTGTAATTCATGGTAACTGACACATGACAGAGTCGTTAGGCTAGATATTGGAGAATTATAGAATTATAGAACCATCATGACACCGAGCTCAGATATCTATGGTACTAGCCATAGCTATGCGGAAGACTCAGTTCATTGTTTCGTTTCAATCTCTATTAAATACAATTGTATATATGGCATATGACCCCGTTCCCCAGAAAAAGACCCCAAAAAGAAAAGGAAGATTTGACTCCACCCATCGCCATAACTTCGATGATGATATGCAAAGCTGAAAGCAAATGCCTTGAAGCCTTTCCCACTTGAACCGGCTTTTCCGTCATGCAAAATAACCCCGGATAATATGCGAATGGGTATCACAGCAGATGATTTTCATGGGAGAACCGTCCATCCAACCAAGCCCGACCGATATATAGCATAGTACGCTATGGGTAGAAGAAACGAAAGGGGGAAAATAGAAAGAAATAAAAATGAATAAAAATGAATAAAAAATATAATAACATTATAAGAAGAAGACAAACATCCCGAGAAGAAGAAATAAGGGGAAAGTATTATAAGAAAAACATAAATAGTAGTGGTCATATCATAACTAATTTACCGGCTGTTTCTCGTTGTTGTTGTTGTTGTTGAGGGGTCATAAAGAAATTATAGGATGGATCTCACTGGCGCTGCCAAAATTTCCAGTTCGGAAACGCTTTACGTCCATCGCGTTTATAGATGCGCCAGTAATAGACTGGGATACCGGCGATGATGAACGCGACGACGATTAATGTCTGGAGCGGTTCTGCAATGACGGCCCTGCTGAGGAGGAAGAGACTAACGCAGCAGAAGATGATGGGAGTGGATATCCAGGTCTTGTAGGGGCGATGCAGGTAGGGTTCCCGCACGCGGAGAATAATCAGGCCTAGCACCGTCACGAAGTAGAAGGTGTATCCGGCTACACCGTAGAAGGTGACAAGGGTCTTGAACTCGCCGACGATGACGTAAATGAGGGTGAGTGTACTGTTCAGCGCCATGGCGTAGATGGGGGTGAAGCCAATTCGCGTGCCATCTCCACAGAAACGCGAAAAGACCTTGGTGGCCCAGGAGCGGCGCTGGAGTCGGTTGGTCGAGGTATCTCGAGTCCATAGTTTACCGAAAATAGAGGGGATATACCCCTCTTTTCCGGCTGCATAAACTAAACGGCCGCTGGTGAAGGCCGTGGCATTCAAGGCGCCAATGCAACTAGCGGATACGATAAGCGCGAATATAAGGGCCCCCACGTGACCAAAGACCTTGTCGCCGAACTGAATGGCGATGGTATTAGTCGCCTCAATAGTGGAATGAGGGAGAACGAGAATGTAGGAGATATTAGCAAGGAGATAGGAGAGGATGACTAGTGGCATGGCCGTGTGAATCACACGTGGAAGATCCTTGTTGGGATTCTTGAATTCACCAGTCACGTAATTCGTCTAAGTGGAGTCAGTAAAAGATAATCACGGGATATTGGGGATGTAAAAGACGTACGTTGTCCCAGCCGTCAAAGGCCCAAAGACCTGCGTACAGAGCTACAGCCCAAGCGGATATGTCGAGGTTCGTGCCCTCGAACCAGCCAGTCTTCCACTCCTTGTTGGCACTGCCAGTCGATGAGTGACCTGTGATAGCCACAATGATACCGATTATGGTGACGCCCAGCAATGCGACAAACTTGAAAAACATGAAGAGGTCACCAATGCGCGCAGCCACTCTCGTTGAAATACAGTTCAACAATGTCACCACGAAAATTCCGCCAAACGCAACCGCCTTGTTTATCCAGGGATTAACCGTTTCCACGTCAGCGCCGACAAAGGCCCTTACGACGTATTCTCCGAAGATAATTGCGATGATGGCCGCACTTCCCGGCTTCAAGACCAAGACTGAGCACCACGTGAACAGGAAGCCCGCTAGCTCCCCGAAAATCTTGGAGAGATACACCTGGGAACCTCCATTCAAGGGAATAGCTCCACCGAGCTCTGCATAGCTGGCTGCCCCCGTCCAAGCGAGTAAGCCAGCAACAACCCATGCAATCAGCGATGCACCAGGCGACCCCGCATTGACATTGACCTGGCTGGGGGATGAGAAAATACCCGAGCCGATCACCAGCCCAATCACGAGAGATAGACCGTTCATATAAGTCAATGTCTTGTTCCTCTCCAAGGACCCATCAGCAATTCCAGCCTCTCGGTCTGCGGACGAGACCCCCAACGGAGCATAACCACCGGTCGTCTGCGACAAGGGAAATAAGGTCGCCCCGAAGTCAAAGGCTGAAGATATCGAGTATGAGCGAGCCGAGCGGGGACGCCCTGACGGGCCCTGCGACTGTGGATGGGAGCTGGAAAGAGGGTCTTCATCTTCGAGGGAGAGCTTGCGCGACGACGAAATGCCGGAGGGAGACGAGGAGCGGGAGGATCTGGGGGCGGAGTCGGGCGAAGAGGCTAAGGACGCCAGTTCGAGGGAATCCCTGGGAGCATGGTAATTGCCCGACCTGGACTCGGAATTCGAAAAGGTTATATGGGACATGCCGCTCAAAGAAGATCGAAACAAATGCTGGTTGGGAGGTGGAAGAACAAGAGCGGGCAGTTAAGGATGGGGCACGGGGCGGTGTTCCATGCCACGGGTGGGAGACTTTCCGGAAGCAACGAGTGGACGGGCACTTCCTCCTCCCCTATTAAAACAATGGGGAATTAGCAGATAAGAAAGAGACAAGACAAGAATTAGCGGCTTGGGGAGGAAGAAGCATGAAGTATTGAAGAAGATCTATTGAGGGACAAAGAAGGAAAGATGAAGGGAAATGCGACTCCCTGCGTCCGCGGCCCAATGAGGCTTAGCGCCATGAGATCTCCGGTCTGCTTTTTATAGCGTCATGTTCCACTTCCCCATTCATTGCCCCAATTTTTTCCCTACACCCATGAAGCCCCGCGCTTTCCCTCAGGGCTTGTTGCGCCGGTTTAATGAGTCGCCCACTGTTGGGAGGCTCGTGATCCGACCTTCCAGACGCCATGCGTCTACCTCGCCGGCGTCTTCTACTTCCTCTCCGTCGTCTACTCCGCCGCCGAAGCAGCAACGATGGCTGCGGTTCGCCTTCATAACTGCCGCTGCGGCGGGTATTGGTGCCCTGGTCCGGTCGCAACAGGGTCCAGAGTCGACAACCCTAAATCAGATGAAGTTCACACCATACTATTTAGTATCCCGCGTACCGGTCTCATCGACCGGGAGCTACTTCGTTCTTCAACCGCCCGCAGCCGATGGTAGCAATCATGCCGTCTACGAGGAAGCATGGAAGACTGGTGTCTGGAGTGTGATGTTCAAACAGCCACAATTGCAGATTGGGAGAGACTACACACCACTGCCAGCCACTTGCTCGGAAGATGAAGAAGACGAGTGTCTGCGCTTCTTCATTCGGAAGGACCCGTTTGGCGAGGTCTCCCGCTATTTGCACAGTCTAGAGATCGGAGCACCCATTGAAGTACGTGGCCCGCGAATCGAATGTGAAATCCCTCCGGATACGCAGCAGATCTTGTTCATCGCCGGAGGCACGGGAATTGCCCCTGCCCTGCAAGCTGGACACACGCTTCTTCGTCGCACCAACGAAACACATAAGCCTAGAATACATATCCTCTGGGCCAACAGAAGGCGGGAGGACTGCGTTGGTGGCGTGAGTGACACAAATACAACTACTACAACAGCACCCTCGAGGCCGTGGTTCTCTGGACTCTTCACGTCTTCGAAGGACAACCAAGGCGGCCCTGTTGAAGCACCCCGCAGTACGGGCACTTCGCTGATAGTCCGTGAGTTGGAGGCTCTTCGGTCACAATACCCTGGACAGGTGACCGTGGATTACTTCGTCGATGAGGAAGGCACCAGCATCGGGAAGCAGCTTATCCTGGACTCCACCCGCAGTGGCCCGTCTTCCCAGGAATCGGAAGAAAGCAAGAACACAAACAACCTAATTCTGGTCTCCGGACCGGAGGGCTTCATTAGCTATATGGCAGGACCAAAGCTCTGGGCTCAAGGAATGGAATTGCAAGGGCCACTCCGGGGAATTCTCAAAGAATTGGACCTAAAGGATTGGGCCGTGTGGAAATTGTAAACATAAATATAAAATTTCATGTACGATAGAAAAGAGTATATAGACAAGACACAATAGACCTTCCGTCTTTTACCCCAGAATCCTCCGATCGCGGAGCAAGAAATAATGCGTGTCGTGTGATTGGTCGATCATCGGGTCTGGGTCCGCGTCGGGGCTTCCCTTTAGTTTGCCTTCAAGTGTGAACTTTTGAGTCACTCAACTTTCTTCCTTTTCTTTCTTCTGTCCTCCCCCATCCTTGACGCCTCTGTCTGAAGATGCAGTCGCGTTTGTTGCCCTCCGGCCCTGGCAGGCGCTGGATCTCCCTCCGCGTGCCGAGCACGCCTCAACGACGAGCATTCGCCTCCACCCGCTTCCTTTTCCAGGATGTCTTCCAGTCCCAGCTGGATGACCCTTCCTCCGCCGCCCTCTTCTCCTCCCTGCAGACCTCCCGGGCCGTGCCCCAGACCTTGACGGAAAAGATCGTTCAGAAGTATGCCGTAGGACTGCCCGATGGCAAGTTCGTCAAGTCCGGCGACTATGTGACCATCGCTCCCCACCGGATCATGACCCATGATAACTCTTGGCCCGTCGCATTGAAGTTCATGTCGATCGGTGCCTCCAAGATGCACGATCCCGACCAGGTCGTGATGACACTCGACCACGATGTCCAGAACAAAACGGATAAGAACCTGCAAAAGTACCGCCAAATCGAGGAGTTTGCTAAGCAACACGGTGTCGAGTTCTATCCCGCCGGTCGAGGAATTGGTCACCAAATCATGGTTGAAGAAGGCTTTGCCTGGCCCGGCACACTGGTGGTCGCTTCGGACAGTCACAGCAACACCTACGGTGCGGTGGCCTCCGTCGGAACGCCCATTGTGAGAACCGATGCGGCCAGTATCTGGGCTACCGGTAAGACGTGGTGGCAGATCCCTCCAGTGGCCAAGGTTACTTTTACCGGTATCCTGCCTCCCGGCGTGACTGGCAAGGACGTCATCGTTGCTCTGTGCGGTCTGTTCGACAAGGATGATGTTCTGAACCATGCAATTGAGTTCACCGGCTCTGAGGAAACCATGAGAAGCTTGCCCATGGATAGCCGGTTGACAATTGCCAACATGACGACTGAGTGGGGTGCCCTGTCAGGAATATTCCCCATGGACAGTGTTCTGAAAGGCTGGATGAAGGGCAAGGCTACCACTGCGGCCATGGGATTGGCTGATGGGCCGTTCAAGACCCTGGCTGCTCGCAACTTCACCCACCCTGCCATTGAGCAGCTGTTTGTGAACCCTCTCACTGCCGATAAGGGTGCCAAGTATGCGAAGGAGCTCTTCCTGGACCTCTCGACTCTTTCTCCCTACGTTTCCGGCCCCAACTCGGTCAAGATTGCCACACCCCTGAAGGAGCTGGAAGCCCAGGATATCAAGGTCAACAAGGCCTATCTGGTTTCCTGCACCAACTCTCGGGCTTCGGACATTGCCGCTGCTGCCAAGGTGTTCAAGGATGCCGCAGAGAAGAATGGTGGGAAGGTCCCGAAGATCGCTGATGGCGTCAAGTTTTACATTGCTGCCGCGTCTATTCCCGAACAGCTCGCTGCGGAAGGAGCCGGTGACTGGCAGACTCTTCTGGATGCTGGAGCAACGGCCCTCCCCGCTGGATGCGGACCTTGCATCGGTCTGGGAACGGGATTGCTGGAGCCCGGTGAGGTCGGCATCAGTGCGTCGAACCGTAACTTCAAGGGTCGTATGGGTAGCACTGAAGCTAAGGCCTACTTGGGTAGCCCCGAAGTTGTTGCCGCCAGTGCTCTCAGCGGCAAGCTGAGCGGTCCTGGCTGGTACCAGCCCCCTGAAGGGTGGACTGAAGTTGTCCGCGGTGAGGGCGATGGTATCCGCGAGGAGGACCGCATGCTCAATACCGAGCAAGCTCTTGAGAAGCTCCTTGGCCAGTTGGATGACCTTGTCGCCGACGGGGAGAAGCGCTTCGCTCCCGAGGAGAAGGTTGAGGAAGAGGGTGGCCTGACTGAGGTGTATCCTGGATTCCCTGAACGTGTCTCTGGCGAGATTGTGTTCTGTGACGCTGACAACTTGAACACGGACGCCATCTATCCCGGTTACTGGACCTACCAGGACAATGTTCCCGTGGAGAAGATGGCAGAAGTATGCATGTCCAACTATGATAAGGAGTTCCACTCCATTGCCAAGGAGGGTGACATCCTGGTTGTCGGATACAACTTCGGTTGTGGTAGCTCTCGTGAACAGGCGGCCACTGCTCTCCTGGCGAAGCAGATTCCCCTGGTTGTGTCGGGTAGCTTTGGCAACATCTTCTCCCGTAACAGCATCAACAATGCTCTCATGGGTCTGGAGGTTCCTCGCTTGGTTAGCCGTCTGCGCGAGGAGTTCGGCGACAAGCAGCTTACCCGCCGGACCGGTTGGACTCTGACCTGGGATGTCCGGCGCAGTCAGATTGAGATCCAGGAAGGCCAGAATGGACCTAAGTGGACTCACAAGGTGGGCGAGCTGCCGCCGAACGTGCAGGAGATCATTGCGAAGGGTGGTCTGGAGAAATGGGTCAAGAACGCCATTGAGGCGTAGAGCAAGTGGTTCAGCAGAAATGAAACTCGCATGACTGTCGACAAAGTGATTCTTATGATACCCAAGCCTTCCAGTCTTCGTTATGGGGTTGCGGCGTGGATGTTTCTTGGACAGAGACGATACGCATGGAGAAAAAAAAGAGACAAAAGATGACTCTGCATGTATAGAAAAAAGAGATTTTCTTTATTAGATGTACTCCAATTTATGACAATGTATTTCTATTCTAATTTTATGTCTTCCTTCCAGTTCTCGCAAGGTGCCTAGGGAGAACGTGATTTTGTGCACCAGGTTGGGTGGTCATGTCCTGCTTGGTCACTTCTGTACCCTCTTTTGCATCATCTTTCATCCACTTCCTTCCCTATCTCTCTGCATCCGCCAATTCCACCATGAATATGGCTATGTCAGTTCCAGGGGAGCAAGGATTGCCTTGTTTGTTGCGGGGATTCAGACGAGATTTGGGGGCGGTGTTTTGGGACGATCGCCTTAGAAGGTTTAGAACACGGGCACTGGCGTGGTGGCCTGCAGTTGCACGGCTCACTGAGCCTGCCATGATTCGCTCCAGCTCAGATGCCTTCAGCTGTCAATCCTCTGCTGGCTTCCTTCCTTCAGCTGACTCCGTTTTCTTCTTTTCATTCTGCTCTCCTCCTTCACTATCGATGGACTCTTCACGGTCCTTCCTCCTATCTCATGTATGATCTGAGCATCCAAGACTTCTGAGTTGTATATGATCGTATGCTCAGCCCCGCTACGCTGCCGATGCCCTTCCAATGAGCTGTGGCCACTACACTGCCGATGGATCCTGTCACCGCAATCGGTCTGCTTTCCGGTGCGTTTCAGATCGCTCAGTACGTCAAAGACACCGCGGGGGCACTAGCCCATCTATATGGCAAATTTAAGGATGCCGACCTCACCATCCGATCGCTTATCGGCGAACTGACGACCATCCGATCGGCCATCACGCAGCTACATGAGTGGGCTAGCTATAATGTTCGTGACTCAACCGAACCAGACGAGTATGTCGAGGGACTTGAAGTCGCATTGGACGGCTGTCGCGCTGTCATGGAGGTTCTTTCGGACGAGGTTTCAGCTCTGACAAGGGGTACAATGCTAAGTGACACCGGGGTCGGATTTCGTACTCGGGTAAAGGTCGTCTGGAGCGAGGACAGTATGAAGGTTCATCAGGAACGACTGCGTGCGCAGGTTCAGGCGCTGCAGCTCCTGCTTCAAGCCTGCCAATGGTGAGTCTTGAAAGGTACCGAAGCAGCAATAAATTACTGCATGCTAAACACCGTGCATTAGTCGAACATCAACCGAACAAGTCGAACTGTTACGGAGAGCAGAAAATCGCCAGATAATTGCCAAAGTCGCCAGCGATACAGCAACATTACGGTCCGCTTACAGCTACGTACCCTCACGGGCGGAGAGTCCGAGCCTGACTCGTCGCTCATCCTCCGTGGGGGACACGGTTTTTGACTTCGATAGGGCAGTGGTGACTTCCCTTCCCTATAGACGAGCAATCGGTCAACCACGGACCCATCCTCCGACGCAAACTGCGGTCAACCGCAGCAATTACAGCCCACCTATAGATGAAGGGTATGGCAGTGGTACTGTGAGCAGTGCAAGCCCACCCGGAACAAATGGAGTTCTTCCAATACATCCATCTGCCTCGTTCGACTCTAGCCATGGCCACAGTAAGAGCGTGTCATTCGCACCGACTCCTTTACCGCAGAGTCCGACTCAAGTCCGCAGGTGGCAGTCGGATGCGAGTGGCGCTTCCTGGGGTAGTCGCTCCTCAGGGTCACGGCGTGAAAAAATTCGGACCATCATCCGGCAACTCAGGCGTCCAAGCTGGTCAGCAACGCAAGCTTCCGTACGAGTTCCTGGGCGAAGTCCGTCGGAGCGTCGGCTGTACGAAAGAGATCTGAATACTAGCATCAATTTGGCATCGTCGGATGGAGCGTCTGCGCCGCCAATTATCAAGTCAGCCCAGTCGGGCAGTCGATCCGATGTCGAAAGGCTCCTGGAAAGTGGCCATGACATTGAAGCCCGTCATATCTCAACCCGCAGGACCGCCCTCTTAGTAGCTTCCCATTGCGGGAATGAAGACGTGCTGGATCTGCTGCTGCAAAGAAACGCTAGAGTGGATGCTACCGACAAGTCGGGTTCCACCGCGTTGCACTTGGCGGCGTCGCGCGGTCATTGCAGGGTGCTAGAACTGCTTCTTCCTGAGTCCTTGGATATCGAAGCACGGAATGCCAACGGCCAGACTGCTCTCTGGGTAGCAGCATATCATGGCCAAGCTGAAGCTACAAACCTCTTGCTTGCTTGCCACGCCAAAGTCAATGCGCGAGCTAATGATCAAGCGACCCCGCTACATCTAGCCGCCAAACTGGGCGATATAGTAATAGCCAGGATTCTGATACAACACGGCGCCGATTTGGAAGCCAAGGACGGAACTATGATGGCACCGCTACACTACACCTGTGAAGGGGGACATCTTGACGTTATTGAGCTGCTCCTCAATGAGAAGGCGAACGTTAACGCAGCTGGGAGCGACCGCAGGACGCCGCTCATATGTGCAGCTGCCCTGGGCCAGCTGCTGACGACGCAGCTCCTGCTCAAAAAGAAGGCGTCCACTCGATCGGTCGACGATGCCGCTATGACGGCGTTGCACTGGGCTGCCTATAATGGACACACCGAGATCGTTGATCTTCTTAGCCAGAAGAAAGGGTTGCTGGTCAAATCTAACATTGCAGGACGAACGGCCCTACATCTGGCTGCAATGAAGTCACAGTTCGCGGTGGTGGAGTTGCTCCTTCGAAAAAATATGCCACTAGAAAATCGCTGCCTTTCGGGCCTCACGCCGCTTCATTACGCGTGCATGGCTGATAATTGTGAGGTTACGAAACTCTTGCTTATCTCAGGCGCCAACATCGAGGCCCAGGCTGACTCGGATCAACGTCGACCGGTCCACCTCGCAGCTGTTCGTGGGTCGATGGCACTTCTTAATCTACTATGTGACAAAGGAGCTTCTCTGGACACCCGCGACGCCGCGGGAGATCGAGCGCTCTGTGTGGCATCCCGGTACGGACATGCAGCTGCCGTTCAGAACCTGCTCGATCGTGGGTCCCCTGTGTGCCTGTCTTATGGCGTCCGATCGGAAGAGGATTCGCCCTTGTGTCTGGCCGCCATGGGAGGGCATGTGCCCGTGGTCACGCTTCTTCTCCAGCGAGGGGCGTCAGCCATCAAGCGGGACGAACGAGGGTGGCAGCCCTACCGCTATGCCGCTTACTATGGCCATCCAAGTGCGCTCCGCCTGCTCATGTCCTGTAGTCCCATGGTTGCCAAAGACGACGCGGATCTGGGCCTCACGGCAGAGCGAATCGGATTTGCGCCGTCTGCGGATGTTTCGATTGAAAGGAAGCGGGAAGTACAAAGCTTATTATATCAGATGCAGCACCCGTCACAGCCAGGAGCCGAAGGCTCCCCGGTCTGGTCCTCTCCGCTAAAGCCCAACCAGCAGCTCCCGGTACCTTCTGGATTCATGTCTGATGCCGCCGTATACCATATCCAGCCGTCTCCTACAGCAGAAACGAGTCCTCAGGAGCTGCCCGGAACCTTAGAACAGGGGCTCCCGGCAAGCCGGTCTCAAACGCCAGAACATATGCGGCGAGGAAGTAGCGCTTATCAACGCATAGACTCTGAATTTCGCGACGTCCCGCAAATTCTAGAGGCCAATGAGCGGGCCTTTGCCCCAACCAATGAACAGATTGCGATGCCTCAGGCGCGACATTACTTCGAGGTGCCCGGAGGTAACACTAGTCCAAGCATTTCGCATGCGGGCGACAGGGTTGGGGTTCGCCCCACGGACTCGCCTGTCTCCTTGACAGATATGCACGGGCTTAACCCTCCGCGCGCATCTTGGACAGCACACCTAAGCCATATAGGTGGGGAGACTCAGGCTCCAAACAAAGAAAGAGAATGGGACACGGAGTCTTCTATATCATCAGTATACACTGCACCGGAGGAAGATGTGGCGGAGCTTGCCGCCTAGATTCACATCGTATAGCATCACAATGTAGCTAGATCATATATCAGAGAGAGGGGTGGAGAGAGAGATCTGCCTTACGGCCACCTCTATACGAGAGCTCCCTTTCTATGGATCAGATTGAGTCACTCCCGCACTTGACCCAAAAATAGCAGCAATATAAGCATATGGCATCGCATGGCATCTCATCGCCATGTGGCCGGGAGCAAGCCTTGGCCCATCAAAGTCAAAAAGAAAGACATGTCTCAGACTCGTTGATTATCTTCCGCAAGCCTCAGGCTGATTGCTCTAGTCAACCGCCAGGATGAAACGTGGCTGAGGATGACGATGGTTCATGCCCTTCAGCATCCAATCAGCCACAGCGAGAGCACCAACACCAATGTACTGTGTAGAATGACTCTCAGGGATGGAACAGCCTCATTGGCGCAACGGATATGCTGACGCAAATCCCTCCCTCTCTTAACTGCCACCTTAAAACCTCAGGCCGTGCGTATGATGCCGTGACGAAGTATAATCAGCTGACCTGACCTTATCCACAAACCATCCCGACAAGATAGATATCCATACCAGATGACAGGATGAAACCCAACAATTAAACCAGGCAAGACAGAAAAAAACCAACCCAACGCTAGTAGTAGTAAATAAGCCAAAAGGTCATACTATAACCTGAGTCATGCATTCAAGCATAAAAGCAGAGAGAGAGAAAAAAGCAAAGAGAAACAATACCACGCCGAATCCAGGCTCGGATTCACCCCGTCTTATCAAGCATTTGTGGATTTTTCTCATACAGGAGAGAGGTATTGGTCTTGAGGCTTCGATTATATTTAGCACATTTTGTTAGTAGTTATCTCGTTAGTTTGGTTACGACGGTAGCATTGGGGATTGGGGGATTCAGCTATCATCAATTATGGGGATGATGCGGGCCTGATATGTTGTATGTAGTATTACTCAAGGGACTTTGGATTCTTCGTTTGGTAGTAGTGGTGGTTGTAGTATGTTCTTGATGGATGATGTTGCCGGGGCTTAGATCAAGAGGTAGGATTTGGAGGTGTATATATAGAGGGTTCGTGTGTCCTGATGGATGAAGCTTGATATTATAAACTACTACTACTACTACTTGCTTAATATACTATAATACATTTACTATCGCTCGCTACAACTGTTTCTTGATCAGTCAACTGATATACATCAACTCTTTGGGATTGTGATTGCTCTCTTCGATCCGTGCGGAATCTTTACTATACATACATCGCTCTCTTATCACCACCATCTATTATACAACTCAGATCAGACAAGATCATCACCATGGGCCGAGGAGGATACAACGCCCCCGAGACCACTGCGCCGAAGCCCGCGCAGCCGAGTTCATCCTCCCGTTCTCTATCTCTCTCGCTGTCGCTGTCACCTCTTGCTTCTGACCCGCTGCTGCTGCAGGGCCGTGGCGGGTACAACGAGCAGCAACCCGTCGCAGGGGCGTTGTAGCATACGACGCGTTATAGAAGACATCATCCGGATGGGAGATAATATGCGCTTATGATTTCCGATATCATACATACTTCTCTCACTTGCCCACACAGAACCTATTCCGATGAGTTAGCAACAAGAATGACAACAACAACAACACACACACTACTACACTATACAGCATAAAACTTACTTTTCAAACACAACGCCCAGAACATCTTCCACGTCTCCGCTTTCCCCACGGCCCGTGATCTTCGCCATGGTATCAGCGGCAGAGCGCAGATGTTCAGCGGCGGTGACGATATCAATGTCCATGTCCATGTCTGTTTCCGGGTACTCATGAGCGATTTGGCGAGATGAAGAGGGTAGAGGCGTCTGGGATTGCGGTTGAGTTTGGGTCAGGAAATCATCTAGGTGTTCGAGACAGCGTTGTAAATTAGAACTTTGGCGATGCGTCACGCCCAGTGAATCTTCCCAATATGCATGATCGTATTGTCCGTTCTCATCTCCGTCGATCCCTGTCGGGGAGGCTATTTCCTCGAATGTAGTCATCAGACCTTGTAGGAATTGCTGGATGTAGCCGGGATCGGAGGACTGGCTGGAACCGGGGCTGGATATGTTCAGGCCGTTTGTGGCATCTAGACAGGAGATGCCGAAGATGCGCTGGCGCAAGTCCGGGACCGCTTCGAAAAGCTGGCTGACTGTCTCGATGAGCTGCGGGGGAAGTTTACCCTCCGGTAGTCGGTCACATTTGTTGATGGTTACGACGACGCATTTGCCTGCGCGGGCGCAGTCGTTGGCAGCATCGACGACCTCCTGCTCGACGGCGAGGCGGTACGTTGCTGCACCATCGGTGGCTTCTTCCACTGAGACGACCACAATAACCACGTCCGATTCCAAGGCACGAGCCTTGGCCCGTCTGATGCCCTCTTGTTCCACGGCGCCAATCACGACTGTCTTCTTCTGTCCGGTGGGATCGTTAGGCTCCGAGCGAATCCCCGCCATATCCCCGAGCTTGCAGTACCAGCCGCCAATGTCGACACCGACATCCACGATATCCCGCGTGGTGCCTTCCTCGGTGCTAACGATGGCGGCCTCTCTGCCCACGATCCGATTCAGAAGCGAGCTCTTCCCCGCATTCGGAGCCCCCAAAAGAGCGACCTTTATACCGTTACGAAGGAGCTCACCCTTCGACGCGTTCTGGATATGAAGGGCGATTTGGGCCCGCAGAGCCCGCACCTGAGCCGCAACCGAGGACACCAGGTCCTCGGTGGACTCGTCGAAGTGCTGATCCTCCGAGAAGTCAATCAAAGCCTCCAGTTCGCCGCGCGCATAGAGCAATTGATGCCGCCATTGTTCGTACCGCTTCGATAGAGCATCGCTAGCACCACGGACTGCAAGTCGGCGCTGCTGCTCCGTGTCAGCCGACAAGGTATCACCCAGGGCTTCGATCTGCGGGAGGTCCAGGCGGTTGTTCATGAAGGCTCGACGGGTGAATTCACCTGGTTCGGCGTAGCGGACTGTGTAGTCGGAGTTGTTTGTACGCGAGATGGCTGTCAGAACGGACTTGACAATGGCTGGGCCGCCGTGGAGGTGCAGCTCGAGGACATCTTCGCCAGTTACGGTCTTCGGGCCGGGGAAGTATAGGACTAGGGCGCCGGCGTCGAGGACGGTATTCGGGGAGGGTTTTTGAAAGGGATCGTACAGGGTGCGGACGACTGCGAGGCGGGGTCGGGGGAGTGGTGCTTCTGGACAGAGAGATTTGTAGATCTGTGTGAACGAGTGAGGTTAGCTGTTGCTGCTGATGCTGGGCTGTGTCTCATTAAATGGCGGAAGTTAGCTCTCATACTTGCACACATGCAGGTCCCGATGCCCGCACAACGGCTATGGCAGCCCGTCCAGATGCTGTTGAAAGCGCATAGATAGTGGAATCGGCATCGAAGATAGATTGAGCCGGTGAGGATCCTGAGAAGTATCGTTGTGGAGGTACACGCGGAGATGGGCTCCGGGCATGGAGAGCTGGACCAGCGCCCTGCCGGGCCACGGTGAAGCACCTACTCCATGATGGGCGGAGGGGTGTCGCCCACCGTAGGGTCCGGACGGCCGATGATCGCATACGCGAGATGAACCCGGATAGGCGCAATGAACAAGCGAAGAGCAATCGCTGATTTTCGAGGCATGAGAGAAGGAGAGGCTCATCGAGGAGATTCGCCGCATCGCCGGGGTCACGTGATACCTCCGCGGAGGAGGAAGTGGAGTTTAGGTTACGAAAGAATGCTGTAGTGTATGGCAGGTAGGGTTCAGAAACTACAATAGCAGCCTATGCAAGACAAGGTATTCATGTAGACAGATCCAGGAATCCAGTAGATGTATGAAAGCCAGATCACAAGGGCCCTGCGCCCCTTCGCCACGCCTGCGCGCCGAAAAGACACAAAACCTCGGCCATGCGCCACGGATTCCTTCCCCGTAGCCCAAATGCAACAACGGCTCGAACGACATGCAGATATAAACGGAGAATGAAGAGAAAAGCAGAGCGAAAGGAAGTATGTACACAAAGAAATGACCGGAGCAACAGTGACAAGCAATGGATAAAGTAGGAGTATGAAGGGTGATTGGGAATCGCTGGAAAAAAGGGAAACAATGTACTTTCGAAGAAAATGCGGAGGGATGCCCGGAGAAAGGAAGAAATTCAGAAAGCCAGGCAAGCCAGAGAAAAAGGGGGGTAAGTTCATCCTGGCATAGTATACACTCAAAACAGCATAATGAGATCTTTCCGAGACGACATGAGTTAGTCTATCAAACATTAGATTAGGAAAGTGGGGAGGAAAGACACTCCTTGCGGACAAGGAGGAAAGGATGTAAGATAAAAGAAAAAATGGGCAAATGAAATGAAATCAATAAAAGAAGGATGGTAGTAGAAAGGCAATAGTTGCCCAACTACTCAATGGATCTGCTCGACGGTGAGCCTTCCATCAGTTCATCGTCACCAGGCGACCGAAGCTGTTGGTCTGCTGTTGGTGATACCACGATTGCCGGTGTCAGGGGCGGTTGTGAAAGGGGATCGTCTCCAGATCGAGGACTTGTAGCATCATCCGGCTCCAAATCTGTCCTGGGAGGTGAAATGGGTTCGGGCACGGAGGTGGCCGCAGAGCCCTCGGCGCTGTTATTGCTGGTGCTGCCTCCGTTTCGTCTCCGTAACCTGCGTTTCCGACGCTCTTCTTCCGCTGTTTCTCGGCGTCTTCTCATTCGGTCGCCGTCCATGTTATCACGAAGGCCCTGCAGCATGCTCGCGGCACGATCCGCCACGTCTTCGCTTTCCGACACATGTTGCGGGTCCTTCTTGCTCTCAGAGGTTTCTGCTTCAAGGAGGGGAGGACTCAGCAGCCCTGACGCGGCGGCATTTGCTTCGCTATCATTGTCGTTGCCCGCCTTGCTGTTGCCACCATCATTTTCGGCTTCGTTCCCTCCTTCCGGTGCCTCGGCTCCAGCAACATCCGGCATCTTCTGGCCGGAAGCGACACGAACTTGGTGTCGCTCCTTTAGCCTAGCACGACGGCGGCGGTCACGCTGGTCTCTGGCTTGCGGCGCTGCGGCGCGGAGCTTCTCCAGGAGCGAATCCATGGCCCCGCTTGTAGCTGGCGACGGTGGAGCGTCACTTGCAGAGGCGGCGCCATTGGCAAGCCCGGCATTGATATTCCGCTTGCGAGCCAAGGACGCCTCGGTGCGTCTCCGACTTTCTTCCAGCGAAATGTTCTTCTCCTTAGATTTCTGCACGACCATTGGTTAGCAAACGTTCTTAGATGATACTGGGCAATCAAACTCACCTTCCACTCTAGCAAGAAGGAAGCCAGCTTCGCGAAGAAGTCTCGGCGGGCACCCTCATCGGAATTGTCTTCTCCATAGAAGACCATGATGTCATCATAGGATTTGATCATCTCATCCAAGTAGAGCTGCATCTGCTCGGCCTTGCGTCTAGCATCCTTCATACTCCGCTGAACGATCTGGCTAACGCGATCCTGGGGGTGGAACTTCTTCGGGTCACTGAGGTTTCCGGCGTCTAAGCTGGCCTGTACATTCTTGATGTTGTCAATGTACTTCTTCGCATCCGTCCGCAGCTGGTCAACGTTGAGCTTCTGGATAGCAACGACACCATTGATCTCGTCCACGAAGCCCTCCCATTCGGGATACTGGTTACGGACAATGCGCTCTACTAAATCAGCAAAAGTAGTTTCGTTCTTGTCATCCTTGACCATGCCCAGCCGGGCAAGAGAGCTCAGCTTGAATCCTTGAGCCTGCTTGTTGGCATCGTTCATGAAGTTACCAATGTCCAAAATGAGACCCAGGACATTCATCAGAGAAACAGAGTCTCTCAGAGATTCGCTGACCTTGACCACTTGTTGCAGCTTGGCGGAGATGTGCTCATAATCCACTTCGAAGGACCGAGTTAACGCGAGAGCGCGCATTCTCGCCTTCCAGTAGTGGTTGAGCTCATACGCGGTGTATAGGTAGATCTGATCTTCCCTCGTGAGCTCGTTGGGGTCTTGCTCTCGCTCCGCACTAGCAGCATCGGGGCCGGTCCAGTCCCTGCTGTAGGGCGCCATCGATTTGGAAATATTCTCGGGGATTGTGCACATCTCGTCCCGCTGCAGGAACTCCATGACGACCTGGTTGTCCAGAATGTCTGTATCGCAATGAATGATCATGCGCACCACATCGTCGGCAGGGAATTGCGAAAACTTGGCCATTGCGATCTGGAAGTTCTTGGACAGCTCGTTGGAGATGAGCTGTTTCTTGTCCTTGCGCTGCTTCGCTGCTGCATTGCCTCCGAAGATCTTGGTCTCCTTCGCCATGAAGAGTCTTTCAACCTCATCTAAGACACCCTTCTTAGCCAACTCTACATACTTCTCTTCTTTCTCCTGCGCAGTGGGAGCGTGAGCTGCCCACACCGTTACCTGTGGAGCATCAACCTTCTCCCAGTGAAGAGCCTTGAGCTTCTTCTTTGGCCGGATAGAAGGCATAAGAGCTGTCTTGTGTTGGGGAAGGGCTTGGGAGGCCATGTAGTTGGCTCGCCATCCTCCAAAGCCTGCGCCAGGGGGAGGTGGGGGAGGAGGGGCACCAAATGAAGCACCTGGTGGAGGGGGAGGCGGCGGCGGGAATCCTGCACCGCCTGGAGGAGGGGGCGGAGGAGGTGGAGGGGGTATTCCAACCTTTCCTCCCGGCGGCGGCGGAGGGGGAGGGGG